TCCATTACTTTTGGTAGGGTAAGAGCTTTAATTGTCTGATATGTGTATTAAAAACATAATGGATTACTTCAAAGGAGCTTTTGAACTTTTCTTAAGTAGCTTGGCTGATTTCTATATTGAATAGTGATATAATGCTGTTGCAAGTCAAATATGCATAGGGTTAGATGGTATGTATAGTGATTGAACTAATTACTTATTTACTGAAGAAGCTATATGAAATGTTAATTAAATAAGAAACAAAGTAATGACATTTAAAATATGTTGTATTTGTCTCAACATTTAAAAAAAGAAAAATCAATTGAACATACTGCAGTTCTGGAGAAAAATAATGTTGCCATTTTGGAAACTTGTGCCTATATTGGTCACGTATAAAATTAGATTGATAAATGATGATTTTTCCAAGTTGGAAGCCTTTCAAGTACATATAATTTTATTTTGGATCAATAATTCTGTCGTGCTTGGAATAGTTTGAAGGTACATGTGTAGCTTTGATAAGTGCAATACAGTGTTCATCTCCATGAAATCATCCAAAGCTGTCATGACGTGTATCATCCTTTAAAAAGTAATAAATACAGATAGATTAGTAGATATAGACAGTATTCAGTGTTAGTAAAACAACTGTTGTCCTAATGAAATATTCTTTCTTGGCAAGACAGTGTTAAATTCATGAACTTTTTCATTCCAGGTGTCTCTAAGAACATTTTAAATGTCAGTATTTTGTAATTACTGCAAACATACTGTATGCTTCAAACTTAACACTGGTTTCTGCTTATAGGAATCTAATGGCCAGGTGTGTTTAATTTCCTATTATCGTGGCATCTGTCACTCAGAATGTCAAAAATATATTATAAATGCCATAAACAAAATCAGCACTGTCTATGATGATGTTGATGTCAGTGATGTGATATGCTTTTCTTTCAATTTAAGAACTTAACTTTATTTATGATTAAATACCTCTTCTCCCCTCTCCCCCCTTTCTTAATTCCAATGTTAAATGTCTTCTCCCAAAATTTGGACTCATTCTGCTTTTATTATTGAAAAGTATTTACATTAGAATGTTGAAGCATAAAGCAAAAGTAAAAGAAAAAGATGTTTACATTGCAGAAATGAATAGGACATCTTTTAAAATTTCCTGCACTTAGTTTAGTTTAGTTTTGTTTTTTTATCTTTGCATACAGAATATCCTATATTTGAACTCTGGCAGGCTGAAATACTGTGTAAATATTGTTGAAGAAGCCTGAAGCAAAAAACAACCCAAAATATGCATAAATTAAATCATGTTATTGGGGGAGGGATATCATTTGCTCTTTAAATGACAAGAGAGAAAAAGAAGCTATTGTGGAAAAATTGTAGAAAATTGTCTTTTTCTTCCCTCTGAGGAAGTCTGAGAAATGAAGTGTTAGTGGTATTCCATAGGAGATAATTAGTTTGTACTTTTTCCTTTTTGGAAAGAGCAGTGAAGGAGCCAGTATTTTGGCTGCTGATTGTGGTTGCCTGTATTAAGCATAAGCCTCCAGTATTTTTTGTCCCCTTTCTGCTATTCACAGTTGGAGGTGAAACTACAGATCTAGATCTTCTAGCACCTTTCCTTCATCGTTCTTACTGTGCAACCTGTGAGTTAAGTATATTGGGTTCATTGTGCACAGAGCTTCCTTACATTTCTGATAACTTAAAATAAGTGAATAAAAAGGGGAAGAAACTTGAATTCTGATGGTGAAAAAGAGAAATAGAAAATAGAAAAGTTAATACAGACAGGATAAACATAAATTCATGAAAGTTACTGTTGGGCTATACTATAGGCCATGAGAGCCTTTCACTTTGATTCCATGGAAGCAGTTAGATGGAGCCAAGTTGCTGTGAAAAGTGGTAAAACCTTAACTGATCTTGATGTCAGATTCTGGAGGTTATAGGTGCTCAAGTGCCACAGAGAACTGGCATTATTTTACTTGTTTGAAAATACCGTGCATATTTGAGGAAACCTTTCAGACAGTGCAGATTAATTCTTGTGCTCACTAACTAGCAACTCATTTTTAATCCCAGGGTTCAGCACATTGTTCATCAAGTTTCTTGTACACTGAAACGTGACTCAGGGCTTCTGAGAGTCGAGCCCATATTTTTCTTAGGTTGTGTGAGAGAATTGCAAGTAACAAGTTCTGCTCTTGACCGAACTAGCCTGCATCACTGAAAGACAGAAACTTCCCTTCTTTGAAGCGTATGGTGTCAACTCTTTTTATTCCAGGAGAGCTAGCCAGAGGCTCTAAATGTGGAACTGGAGTGGTCCTGTGACACCAGGGGTACTCATCTAATAATGAAAAGATGAGGAGAAAGTAAACCACTATTGTTCTTGCTGTAACCGCCCTGCATCTCTGATTCTCTTCTGCTCTTCCCATCCTCCCATCAGCAGCCACTATAATTGAGTCCGTCTTCTCACTTAATGACGCTATCTTGTCTTAGGCTTCTCTTTAAATGTAAAGAACTGGCATAGCAGGTCACACTAAGGATCTGTCTAGTTTGTTGTCCTGTTTTGGACAGTGACTAGTAGCTGCTGCTTAAAAAAATCGTATTTAAAAACCAGGAAAAAATAGAATTAATCCATTCTTTCAGCTCCTGGTATCAGTAGTACAGGAAAAACTGATATATGTGGGCCTCAGAAATCACAGAAAAATCCTGGTGCCCTGCAAGCCAGCCTGATGCTTTCTCCTTACACCATGCACACTGTCACACCATTCACACGACTCCTACCACTCAAAATTAGGTAGAGGCTACTCTATTAGGTAGAGTGTCAGAAATCACTGGACTCATTGGCTCAGCTACCTCCAGACTGGTGTTTTCAACAGGCATAGGTGGACCCTATGAATTGTCTCACCCTTTTCTAATCTGATTATACTTTTTGCTCTCTCATAGCAATGAGTTCTTCAGCTTAGTTATGCAGTCTGTATAGAAATAATTTCCTTTTCTCTGTTTTAAATATGCTGGTTAATATTTAATATCATTTTTGTGTTATGAGAAATAGTGGATAATTTTTCTCTGCTCACTTGCTGAATACATTTTTGATTTTATAAACTCCTATCATTTTTCCCCTTATTCATCCAGTTTATCCAAGGTGGAGAATTTTAGTCTATTTAGTCTTCTCTTCTACACTCCTGTCACCTCCTCCTAGGGAAGCTTTAGAAAATCTGGATGTGTCCTATTTTTAACAGTAATTTTGAGGGCAGATAAAGAGAACATTATCTAGGAAAAAAAGAGATGTAAAATGGCCCATCAAATTTAACTCTATATAGAAAGTTTTTTAATTTTTATTTTTGCCATTAGGATCTCAAATTAGCACTTGTCTCTTCTATGATAGAATGAGATGGTAAATATCCCACTGATTTCAATGGGAGCCAAGTTCATACAGTGTTAAATGCTCCTGAAAATCGCATCTTATTTTGTCACTAAATATTTTTTCCTGTTGCTATTCTACTTACAGATATATGCATAAAATGTTGGAGGAATCAAGCTTTAAGTTATGAATTCTATTTTTTTTTTTAAGGAAAGAAAGAAAAATTCAGCCATGGTTTATAGCTAATTTTTTTTTTTAATCATTAATGGAAATTAGAATATTATTCTGCACTGTACAGGTGACCCAAGATACGACAATAGGTATAGTTAAATGATTCCTGCAGCAAAAATCCTTTAACCTTCCTACTGAAAAGCAGGGATTGAGCAGTTTTTCACCTTGAGAAGTTAAGAAAAATAACACTGGCTTTTTATATTGACCTTCAAAATAGAGCTACTGGATTTTTGTCACATAATACCATATCATTAAGTCATTGTAATTTATGAGTGCTTGACTGAGTGCCGTTTACACCAGTTTAGGATCTGGCATCTAAGCCCTAGAAAATGCCTGGTGTTTCATCACTGCTCATGATGGTTCTGATAATTTTTTTGCAAATTGAGGAGCTCCGTGGAAGCTTCTAATTTTCGTAGTAGCACTAGCATGATGAACTGTAGCTCATTACTGTAAACTGATGGCAGCTGTTAATACTATTACAGGCAGAGACTTTTTATTTAAGGGAAACATTAGCCAGTAACTGGTGGATTTCTGACATAGTATTACATAAAGCCTCCTGTTAGCAAGAAGAGCAAAGAGAAATGGATTTGAACCCATTAGTATCAGAATTAAGTGTCAAAAAGCTAGAGCAGAGTTCAATTTATTTCTGCAATAAAGTGTAAGCTAGAGATTGACTTGACAATTATTTTACCTTACATTGCTCTGGTTGTTCTGAGGTGACTATTCCAATATCAAATCACCTTGTTTGGACATCTTTTACTAAATAAAGTGCTAGTCTAAGTATGTATTATATTATGTGGTAGCTAAAACTTGAAGGTTTCTCAAGTAGAAATGAGTTTTTTATTACTATTTTTACTAAAGGATATATATATATAGTGAAACTTATTCAGTGTAGGTTTAAAACAACTGCATGTATTTCTGCTAAATCTACTATATGGTGTTGAATATATTTTATGTTGTCAATGAAAGGATAATCTTTCTGAAACTTATAGTAGCTTTGAATAAGCAATATAAATAATCTGCCCCAAAATATTTATCTTCTCTAAGCCAGTAACTAAGCAGTATTGTTGTTTCTGTTTCAGTCTCACTTTTTTCTAATAATTTTCCAAACTAGGTGATAACAAATTACTACTTTCTTATTATGGTTTTAAAGTGTGAAGGATGTTTTTATCAGTATTTTCACCCATTTTATATATTTAGCCTCCATCTGAACACTGATGTTCATGAGTTCAGATGCTTAACCTTGCCCATTGTACCTGACTTCTGCTGGAATGGCAAGTCTAACTGAACATTTCCTTTCTCGAAATGGTGAGCTTCTATAGCATACCAACTGCATTTTCCAGTTTGTGTAACGTAAGAATTGCTTCCATTGTTGTCATATTCTATTCTAAACTCTTGCATGAAATGTTATACAAAACACATCTATTTATTAAACCTTTTTTTCTAGGTAATGTATTACACTGGCATGTGGATTCTCATAGCAGGTTGGCTTCCTTACACCTCTGCACACTTGACTGCAAGATTGTTTCGTACTTGGGAGTAATGCAGAAAGTTGAATGCTTCTTGTATTGCATTTTTTTTTGTACGCCCATATTCTGATCTTCTGTGAACTCTGTGGGCAGAACTAATCCAAACATAAGAAGACTACAGGGTATTGTGAGATTCGTGGTACGACAAGCTTGCCCCTGAAAACTTGAAACATACTGACACTGAGTACCTCTAGTGTTAGACTTAGAATTGCCTTAACAGCTAGATTAAACAGACTATCCTTCTGGGCAGCCATGTGGAATGGCAATTCCACGTGTTTGGAATCGCTAGGATCCAACCGCAATAGCTGTTCACTGTGGGCCCTCTCTTCCCTTTGGCTGCAGAAGAGCCGAACAAAGTTGGGTGAAGCAGAGGTTAAAACAGTTACCTACCTATGTAGATGGTTATTTTACTTGAATTCTAGTTGCTTTTTTATCACAAAACTAATTTGAGCAATATATAATTTATTTCATTCATTTAAAGCCTGCTCATTATAAAAATCTGTCTATAACAAGAGATTGTGTATATGCAGGAAGAGAATTTATTTTTGCCAGGAATTTCTCATGCATGAATACAAATGAATATTCTAAATGTAAATGTTTGGTTAGATTATTTTTCAGAGACACATATTGATTTCTGTTGTCACCCTTCAGTGAAATTTAGTGTAGATTACTAGGAAATCCCTTCCTAATGCATACTGCAAAAAAAGTAAAATATGATTTCCTTGACAGTCATGACAGTCAGTGAAAAGACACAGAGTGAATGTTAAAAAAATTAACAGTATTTACTCTATCTTCACCAATATAAGAGTCAAAATTTAGCTTTTAGAAAATAACTCATTTGATGCTTATGATATAGGGGTCCATATTGTGCTTGATGTAAAAAGTATGTTTTCAAATTCATAGCTGAGCATAGAACAAAGCTTTGCACTTCCTGATTTTTCTTTGTCTTTCTAAATGTAGAGTTGTGGCTCTTTCACTGTGTCAAGTGCTGTGTAATATTGCAACTCATACTTTTCTAACATGCTAGTAGTATGGATGTTGTGGTGAGCTGTATATAATGGCAGAGTTTGATCCTAAAATATATGCCATGTAGCTTTCTAATAATACTGAAATACATGAATCGTTGAATATTATAGTGAGTTTGATAATTGTGGATTATACTAATTTTAAGCTATAGCTGTTAAACAAAATTTTGTTCTACAAGTACGATACTATTTCCATAAAAATAGTTTCTCTTCCGTGTTATTTAGAAGAGACAGAATGTATTTTGATAATTCAGACAGAATTAAGAAGATTTAAAAGTATATATATATAATTTTTTAGCTAACTAAGAAAACATTAAGATTGTTAGTCACTAAAGTTTTTTAGGATTTACTAGAAGATTATAGAATAAGAGAGCATTCATAAATTAATTTGAAAGAACTTTGGAAACCTTGAGTATCCTAAATATTCATCAGAAATTTTAGATAAATCTATTTTAATTAAAAAAAAAGAAAACAGAGTCACTTGTAACTAATTTGATTAATATTATCTTTCACCTCTCTGTTCTGCTAGTTACAGTCACTTGTGTATAGAGTTTTATATAAGAAATTGAATAAATAAAATGCAGTTATTCCTATATGAAAGTAAGAGTAAAAAATATGTGACACAACCAGGTCAAAGCAGAGTCACACATCACGAAATAAAGGAAGAAAACAGCTATAATATACTGGAAAGGAATGTTGGTCTTTTGTAGGTCAGTTGTATTTTTAACGGGTACTGATTGTATAAGTAGTCATTAAAGAAGTTTTTGTAAAACTTACATAGTAATTTTAATTTTATATCTTGCAAGCAGTGTTAAGCATCAGTGTTAAACTACTTGATTCTGATGAATAATAATAAATATCGAGATCGTCTAAGAATTTGTAACAAATTATATTTGACAGCTACAAAATCTCAATAGTTTTTAAAATCTTGACAGTGGTATTGTTAACCTGCTTTAATTTGTTTTGTAAATAGTTTGAAAACTATTAAAGTTATACCACTTAAAATACTGCCAATAAATGTTTGGTTTAACAAATACATTTTAATATATAGGAAATGACATTGCAATATTACTCTGCATTACTGTATTGTAATAATATTTAAATCACAGTTTATATCTACTGCTCTGCTTCTTCTATAGATAATAACAGGCATAAGATTTGGAAGCAGAACTCTTTGCTTCTGTACTTTCAAGGGAACAATGATGCTTGTGCTTGTTTATGGTTAGTAGTATAATTACAAATATTAAAATTATGCATCTATTTATTTATATTTTCTCAGAATACTTGGGAGTGTTTGGAATTTGGCTTTTTTATGATCTCTCTCTGATGTACTTCAAGTAGACAAAGCAGAAAAACTTTTGGGAAAAAATATTAATCTTTGCGGTAAAGCTGGCTTTATAGGAAGCCAAACAAGCAGAGACATTTTAACATAATTTTCTCCTGACTTAAACAATCTTAATTTTATCACTTTGCCAAACTGTGTTCCTTTGCATGAAGTATGTGCGGGAATTCTGAATTTGCATTTTCATTAGATTTAGCATTCAGCACCTAATGCCATAAATTTGTTTTTGAAACTCTTTAATTCCCCTGAGTGTTCCAACATATTGAATGCTATTTGCTTTGTATTATGTTGGCAGCAAATCTGCAGTGAAAATGCTGTCAATATATATTCATAGCTAACATTGTTAACTAAAAGCAATATTGTTTTTCTATTGTAAGCTGTCACAAATGTTTGGCACCCTGTTGTGTAAGCCAAAAAAATGTCAAAGAAATGAATGAACATTTTTGAAGAAAAGTGCAGTGATAGTGTCAAGTTTTCTGCATTAAAAGACATTCCTGTTTGTACAGACATTTACAATTTATAAAAATTGTGATTTTGTAGTAATGTAAAGTTAGAATATTGTGAGAGTTTGCATGCTGTTACACATATTATGTTAAATGATAGGAGCATAGTAAATGATATAGCCGTTTTGCTTTCCCATAAAATGAAGTACTCATCTAGCTGTAAAATATTTTCTACTAAAACCAAGAATTATTTTATTAAAAGATGTATGTGGAAAGATATATGTGGAAAATGAAGTATTTTGTGTTTTTACTTGTTTTTGTAGATGAAATGTATAATTAATAGAAGAACTGCAAAGATTTTAGCATTTTTCTAGGGACCGTGCTTATGTTTGTGTAAGTTACACTGATTTGGTTTATTTAAGTTGATTCTTCCTTTTCCAAGTATTCTTTTCTACAGAAATTGTTATATTTTTCCATGTATATGCTATTATAAGAATAGGTCAGAACAAAGTACTTCAGAGAACTTCCGTGGGTAGAAATGAGTGCAAGAATAATAATAATAAAAAAGTCTACCACAAGAATAGCCATGTTAGTGCTAATGAATAATAAATACCCACAAGTTAAAATAAGACAAATGGAAATTTTCTGTGCTACTCTTTCAAATATATTAAACCAGAGAGCTTGTGACCTGAGCAATTTAAATAGAAACTTCTAGCTGAAGCAGTAAAACGGGCAGGGTGTGAAGTTCCATTGCCATGAACTAACTTGCACTGGTATCAATACCAAATTCAGCTGATAACTACGCAGAGCACTAGGAAAAATAAACTCCAGCCCTGTGCACGGCTCAGACTGAAGTATCAGAGCTTCACAAAGATGCAGATTTTCTAGTACTCTCTTCTGTCCAAGGTAATATTTTCTACAATCACTTTGAAAAGATTAATCCAAAATCAGAATAGTGAAATACTGGGAAACCCACAAACGTTCTCATTCATGGCAGTTCAGGTCAGTCCTTAGAAAACTGTGCCCTGTTTTCTGAACTTACTGAATCATAACGTATTAAATTTAGAAACCTTTGGGAAAACCTTAATACATTAAGTGTTCAATGTAATGTCCAAAAAGAAACCCAAATGTTCTAATCCATTGTACAAATACAATCACTGGTAAAACTGGCTTACCGCTTTATTTCCTCCAGCAATATGTTGGTGATACATAATAAGACATATTACCTTCTGTGATATTGGCACATATCTCAAATACGTACCAACTGATTGCACTACATAATAATTTAGCCATTCCTTGCAACTGACTTCACCACTCTGCTTTACAATAATCTCTGTTTTCTGTACTGATATCTACTCTGCTAGGGGAATTCAGGTTCCACAAGTGATTTCACACCATCCCTCTTATGGACTTGGTCTTTTCAAGCATTTTCTGAGAAGTGCAAAATAACCTCAGTTTCCATAAACTTTAGTGAGATTTCAACACAATTAGCACCTTGGAAAATTGGCCCGTATATTCGCTTGCACCAACCTTTATACATTTGTAATATACTTCTAAATAAGATTGCGTAAACCTTCGGAGCTCCCTGAAGTGATAATGGAACAATATATGACAGTAGCATAATTGAGGTATCTGCTGCAAATATCTGAACATCACGAGGCATTTCAAAGTATCATCTTTGACATTATTACTCTTTTTATCATCTTCAGTAAAAAAAGTAGGAGAGTTTATGTTCCTGTTTAGAGCTCAGCTCTCCAGGATCATGTTCCTATGTCCATTTTAAAAAAGACATAAGGGAAATACCACCCATAAATGCTGTACTTTTCCTCTGTGATCCTCCCAAGAGAAGAGCAACTGTCAGTAATTACTTTTCTATCAGCATCTGTAAATGTGATAGACGCCTTAAAACAAGTAATCTGAGGCACAAGTAATAGAAATATCAAAGAGTAAAGGCTCATAGTGATGGTTCCCTTATCACTGATGTTCTTCACTTGTTCCTACAAACTGTTTTAAATTTGTGCTGAATACTTAAAATGCTTTTCTAATGGAAAAGATAGTATTTGGTATTCACTTTATAAGGAAAATCATAAGGTCTTCCTTTTTCATATTTTTTTTACATTGGACATTTCAGACATGCCTTTTACGAAACTCACATTTGAAAGTCAGTTTGGATGAAAAATAGAAGCACCTGATTCCTGACATGGACTGAGGGAACAACCGAATCCTCCAGGGAGACTCACACCAATCAGTAGGATGGTGATGATGACAATGTCAAGGAGCAAGGCTCTGTTGTAATACAAACAAAGAAGAAAAAGATGGTCTCACATCCAAAATATTTATAGTCTAAATCTGTACTAAATATGATGAGTAGCAAATCCTAGGCAGAGGCTTTTTTTTTAATGAAGTACGCCTAAAGTAAATATATCACATGTATAATAGAAATCAGAGACATGAAGATCTCTGGTATTCTGTTAAGGTGGTAAAAAGCAATACACTGTGAGACACCTCTAATAATTCATTTTTGCTTATTCTAACAGCCAGTGCTGTAGCCTAACTCAGAGACAAAGAAGTCAACCTTAGGCTCATGCTTCATGAATGGAAATATATTTAGCAAATGAAACTTAGGGGGGAATTCGATGGGTGATTCCTACAGGTAGATGCCTACAGCTTTCCTGTATCAGTCGTTTCTCCATAGAGAGAGCAAGAAATGGTAGATTCTGATTTTTCACAAAAGTAAGAAGATGAGATTAACTATACAAAAGGGACTGATTAAGAAGGTGACAATTTTGCATAGTCACTTTCATTACCATAGCAAGAATATTAAAAGAAAAATTTAGAAAATGATTTCATTTTCAGAAGTTACTGATTTCTTGGAAGATGAAGTTAGTGCTGAGGCGCTAATTTAGAAAATGGAATGTAGATTTCTAAATCACTTAGCACTTCGGCAAATTGAGTCTAATGAATATGCTTTGGTGCCGTGGTAGTAAAGAGATTGAACAAGTTCTAGGCATCTCTGAGTTACTGTGTCTCCTATTCTATACAGCTTTACCTAGGTTACATCCTCTTTCTAAGTTTCCCCTCAGTGTCCAGGTTGTTTTTTTTCTGCCTTTCATTTCCCAATATTCTTCCCTAATTCTCCTAAATTAAAGCAAAAAACTGAAATACACTAAGTTAAAGGTGCGAGCTTCTGAGACTTTGATTGCTATTGGCCAATAAAGTCAGTGAAATTTTGTAAATGTTCTAGGTGGATGTCCAGCATGTGCAAGTCTAAGAAGGAAGATGTCTTGCCACAGTATTTAAGGCTTTCTAAATTATTCCAATGGTTTGGGCAGGAGTGGGTCTAATGTGTAACTTTAGAGGCAGTATACTTGGACAGTTGCATTCAGAGGTGAATAGTATTTCCCCCCTCCAAAATAAAAGAGACCCTAAAAATTTCTGGATATTTCACTAGACAGGGCTCCTG